ATTCACTCAACCAGCAGTCTTTTGCTGAAGGCCGCCTGGATTCCAAGCAAGGTACTAGACCCTGTTGTTATGGTTGATAGCATCTACCCCTGACACAAGGAAAATTCATTTACAAAGGAGCAAAATGCTGTCCAGTCCTGTGCCATCCCGTATCAATTACACATCAGACTACAATTCATAAGGCTTTCATTGATTCATTTTCAGAAGTAGATCTCTCTAGGCCATTCTTTCTAGTCTGTCTTCATCTGGTAACTCCTCTGCCACTTATTCAGCATCATAGCAACAAGCAAGCCTCCACTGACAGCTGTTGGCTGTTGGCTATGCATATGGTGCATTGGCTGGGAACTGAACCAAGGTCTCCCACATCTTGTTATTAACGTAGTGCTGAGTTGGTTTCAACTAATAGTGACCCCATGCACAACAGAACAAAACACTCCCTAGTCTTGTGCCATCCTCACAATTGTTCTGATTGCCCCCATTGTTGCTGCCACTACCTCAATCCATCTCATTGAGGGTCTTCCTCTTTTTCTCTGACTCTCCCTTTTACCAAGCATGATGTCCTTTTTCAGGGAATGATCCCTCCTGATAATGTTTTCAAAGTATGAGAGACCAAGTCTTGCCGCCACCCTTGTTTCTAAAGAACATTCTGGCTGTACTTCTTCCAACGTATTTTACTTGTTGTTCTGGCAATCCATGGTACTGTCAATATTCTTTACCAGCACAATAACTCAAATGTATTAATTTTTCTATGGTCTTCCTTATCCATTGTCCAACTTTCACATGCACATGAGGAAACCGAAAATATCACAACTTGTGTTCGGTACATCTTAGTCCTCAAACTGATGTCTTTGTATTTGAACACTTTCAAGAGGTCTTGTACAGCAGATTGTTTAAGGCAATACATCATTTGATTTCTTGACTGCTGCTATCATGAGTGTTGATTGCGGATCCAAGTAAGTTGAACTTTTTGACAACTTCAATCTTTTCTCCATTTTGTTGTTGTTAGGTGCCATTGAGTAGGTACCAACTCATAGCGACCTTATACACAGCAGGACGAAACACTGCCTGATCCTGGGCCAACCTCACTATCGTTGCCACACTTGAGCCCATTGATGCTGCCACTTCTTAATGACCTTTTGCTTTCTTCTTGTATGATGTCATCCCATAACTCTCCTGGTCTTTGGTCATTAGTGTCTAATGCATCAAGTCTATTCTTGAGATGGTCTCTTAATGTAGAACCTGTTCAAAGTCGTATTTTGGCTCTTGTGGCCTTGTTTTCATTTTCTTCAGCTTCTATGTGAGTAACTGGTAGTCTACTCTGGTGTTGTTTAGGCTGATGATGTGGAGCATTCTAACGGATGTAGTCAATATTAGTTCTGTGTATAGTTGTCTTTTATGTTATTTTAAAAAGTTATTTGCAATTAATAAATCATTGGTCTTACAAAATTCTATCATGCAATCTTCACGGTGTTTTCCAACTACGGAATCTTCCTCCTTGTTTCCAGCCTTCACATTCTAATTACCAATAATTATCAATACATCTTGATTGCTTGTTTGATCAGTTTCAGACTGAAGAAGTTGGTTTCTTTTGTTCTTGTTCAGTGCTGTCGAGTTGGGTTCCTACTCATAGAGACCCTGCATAGGATTTCCGAGAAGCAACTAGTGAGTTTGAACCACCAACCTTGCAGTTCAAACTGACTTTGCAGTCCAGTGCATTAACCCACAGCACCACACCAGGACTCTGAAGAAGTTGGTAGAATTCTTCAATTTCATCATCACTGGCTTTAGTGGTTTTTCCATATATTTGAATAATAGTGGTATTAATTGATCTTGAATATTATCCTCCCTCAGACAGCATTATACTTCAAGGTAGATCTTGAAACTTTCTTTTTGATGATGAGTATGACACTATTCCTCTTCAATTAGTCATTTTCAGCATAGTAAACCATGTGATTGTCAGATTCAAAATGGCCAATACCAGTCCATTTCCGCTCAGTAATGCCTAGGATATTGATGTTTGTGTTCCATTTGATTTTTGATAATTTCCAATTTTCTTAGATTCATACTTCATACATTTCATGTTCTGATTACTAATGGATGTTTGCAATCATTTCTCCTCATTTTGAGTTGTGTCACATCAGCAAATGAAGGTCATAAAAGCTTTGCTATATTCATATCATTATGGTCAGCTCTACTTTGAGAAAAGAGCTCTTCCCTAGTTGTATTTTGAGTTCCTTCCAATTTGAGGATCTCATGGCATCTTCTGGTAGGATGTCTGACAACATTTCACTGTTATTCATAAGATTATTCAGTAGATAACCTTACGAAAGTGGTCCGCCTCTTCTTCTTCCTAATTGGTCTTAGTCTGGAAGCTTCATTGAATTCATTTTCACCAAGGGCAACCCTGCTGTTATTTAAAATAACAGTGGCATAGTTTCCAGTATCACCGCAACCCACAAGTCACCACAGTAGGACACACTGACAGACGATTGGTGGTGTCTCCCACATGGAAGGTGAGAATTCTACTACTGAGCCATTAGTGTCTCGTGTGCTAGGTCCTAGAGTCACAGAACTAGGGCTTGAGTCCTGCTTTCAGTGGACATAGAACATGAAAGGAAATAGACATAGTAAAACTCCGTCACAGTACCTGGTAAGTATCACACAGAATACAGAGGAAGTATCTTACCAAACTGGGGAAGATGGGGAGAGACTTGCAGAGGACTGACTGAGGCCACATGTTCTACAGAAGCTCCGGAGGACACAGAGCAAGGTTTGTTAGAAGAACTGCAGGTAGTTACGTTGACTGGGCTTTAGACTATGAGTAGGGAATTGATTGCACTATAAATAAAAATGAACTTATAATGCATCATAGCCCTAGGTATAAAAATCTATAACCATAAAACTTGTCAATGAAAACATAATAGAAAAGCTTTTGACACAGTGACAGCAACAGTGGGCTCAAACATGACAATGGCGAGGCTTGTGCAGGACTGGGTTGTGTTTTGTTCTGTTTTAAATAGGCCACTATGAGTTGGAACTGACTCCATGACATAAAATAACAACAAGCATCCACAAACAATGAGATTAGGTTAATTAGGTTAATTGTTAGAAGAAACCAAGGAGACATTAGCCAGGTAGGTAATGAGAGCATATCAGCTAGATCTAAAACCAGAAGATTACCATGTAATGGTAATTAGCATGTAAGGTCTTTAAGGAGAGTGCTCCCTATTAGCTATTATCAGGGTAGCCCTGTTGCTGTGGACAGGAGTCCCTTGAAAGGGGAAGCTGCTCTCATCTGCTCAAGCTCATCCTCCCACAGCTTTATATGTAATATTTCATTTCCCATGAACGCCTGGGAAACCTACGGTGAAGATCTACCGTCTGCTGGATCATATCCTCTTGACAAGTTTTCTCCCTTCCCTCCTGGTCAGTGCCTCTCTCACCGCAGGCTGAGCCATGTGATGTGCCTTTTGGCCACAGGAGATTCCTCAGGGATTGGAGTTCGCCTCTCATACGAGCTTGTGTTGAGTCTCAAATAACCTGGCTGATTTTATCATAAGTTCACTTCACCACAGCTCTTTCTATGGGCATATTTATATGATAAGAGTCCCTGGGCTGGGGTCACAATGGCTAAGTGCTTGACTACCAGCCAAAAAGTTGGCAGTTTGTAACCCTGCCCCCCAGAGGTGCTTTGGAAGAAAGGCCTGGTGATCTGCTTCCAAAAGATCCAAAACCAAAAAGATCCTGTTGCCAATGAGTCAATTACTACTCTTAGAAACACTATAGAATAGAGTAGACCTTCCCAATAGGGTTTCCAATGCTGTGAATCTTGACAGAAACAGACTCTACCACATTTCTCCCACAGAGTTCCCGGGGTTCCACCATCCAGCCTTTTGGTTAGCAGCCAAGTGCTTTACCAATGCACCACCAGTGCCACTCTTTGAAAAAGCAAAGCCACTGGAAACTCTGTGAAGTGTATTTCTATTCTGAAACGCCTTGAGTCAGATCAGGTTATATACTGTGAGTTTTTTACCTTGTGATTTTTACCTTTTGTAAAGCTGAGAAGTCTAATAGCATTTATTTTCCAAAAGACCAACCAACTCTTTCATTTTTAGTAAAAAGAAAATGTGACCAGCAAATACGTTTGACGCCAGAAATAGTTACAACCATACTGACACTGACTATAAAGAAGCAAGGTTTAAGGTAGTGGGGGTGGGAAAGTTCATTACAGTTCGGCTCTATTCCAGGCACTGTGATAGTGTTGTGTGACTGTTACCTGGTATATCTTCACCCACACACCTTTAGGAAGCTGTTTTGATCCTCATTTTTAAGATCAGGGAAGCAAAGCGTGGAGAGCTTAGGCTCTACGTGCCCTCTCCCCACAGTAAGAAACTGACTGGTAAGACAAAGCTTTGAATGCAAGCTGATTCACAGTCTTTTGGTGGTGCTACTGCTTAAAACACTTGTCTGCTAACCAAAGGCTTGCAAGTGCCAGTCCTCCCATAGGCACCTTGGAAGAAAGGCCTGGTGATCTACTTCTGAAAAATCAAACCCTGAAAACCCTCTGGAGCACAGTCATACTCTGACACACACAGAGTCGCCATGAGTCAGAGTCAACTCCATGGTAACTCATTTTGATTTGACTTCAGACCTTGGCACCAGGCCATACTGCTTACCCAGCCAAAAATCAGCTTATTATGCATGGCCATTAAATAATAGCTGTTTCTCCGCCTCCTCTGTATAGTCAAGCATCACTCATGATATGTGCAAGGGTGAAAAATGAGAAGTGACTTGATGTTTGCATATCTGTTCATTTACTGACCAAGGTGAGTTTGTAAGTCCAAGCTAATTTATTTTTGCATTGTTATCCCAAAATTTCACTCATCACATTGCATCTGGATGTTGTTATGGGAAGTGGTTTTTTGCAGTTTATCACCAGAAGAAATTATCTGTAAAAATCTGTATTAAAAGTATTCAAAATGATGTGCTTCCTAACACAGAGATTCCCTTGGATGAGTGCACCTATTCAAGTTGGATTAGTTGGCTTCTGGTGAGTAAAAGAGACTTTTATAGCATTAATTGCTTTTTTAAAAGATAGATATACAGATTATGAGGACTATGGTAATAGATGAGACAAATTCTGAAAATGAGACTAGTAATTTGTAATTCACTGTCCCGGTAATATACGCATACTGTCCTTGAGTGGTAGAATGCTTGCCTTTATACCTGTGTATCATTGGAGGCTTGCATGCTACTGTGTGCTGAACAGATTTCAGTGGAGAGTCCAAAGACATACTAAGGAGAAAGACCTGATGATCTGCTTCCAAAACTCAGTCAATGAAAATCTTATAGATGACAATGGTATTGATCATAGGGTTGGTTTAGAACCAAGGTCCGTTGTGCATGGGACCACCAGGAGTCGGGGTCCAAACTGGCAAGAGCTAACAGTAACACGCCGTCTTTAGAAAAACTTAAAATATTTGAGACTCTTTATTTCTGAGGCTGTTTTTAAAACTCCTATTATCTTGTTCATTTTTTCTTCTCTCATTGTTTTGGCAATCCTAGGTAATAAAATGATACAAACAGGACTTAAAAATTGTATGAGGCAATATGATGCTATAGAGAAAGAAAGAGGAATGTTACGTTAATAAAATGAAAAGGAAAAAATATCTGAGAAGTGAACCACTTCTAAGCCACTCTGACTCATCTTTTCTTTCTTTTTTTAAGTTTGGTATTTGCTACTCCCCTCTGCTGTGCTCTGTTTCCTCAGAAAAGGTATGTATACGCTACTCTTCAGAATGACCATGATTTGTAATCCTGAAAAACAGTCGAAGGGGCAAGTGCTATCATTTCACTTTACTTGTAGGAAAGGAGAAAATGCAAAAGAGCAATGAAACCCAAACCCATAGCTGCCGAGTCAATTCCAACTCATACTACCCCTTAGGGTTTCCAAGGCCGGAATCTTTATGGAGGCAGACTGCTACAGCTTTCTCCTACAGAGTGGCTGGTAGGTTTGAACCACTAACCTCTTGGTTAGTAGCCAAATGCAAACTCTTGTGCCACCGGGGCTCCTTAATAAAGCTGCAGTCCCTAAAAGACACCTAGAGGCAGAAATCAAACCCCAGGCTGTCTAATTTCTTAGCTCCTTACCAGAGTTTTTCTACTCCTTACTGTTAAAGTTTAAATACTTTATTCTTTAGTAAGAGTCAGGTTAACTCTGGTGCAAATGTGCTCTTATAAAAATTTAAATATAGCTGATTTTTGTCCAATCTATTGGTAATGTGTCTGTAATACAGATATATTAGAATTTAAGTTTCACCCCCAGGAATGGCAATTATATGCACTTAGCTTGGGTAGTTAGTATATTTGCTTCCCTTTTTCCTACTTCATTTTTCAGTCTTTAAAGGCTTAATGTGCACTTGTCTTTTATCATAAGCTGCCCTTGAATCCTGCCTCTGATGTGAGAATTGGATTGACAGGCATTAAATCAGCATTATGTAAATCTAGGTCATCAGCCTCCTCCTAATCTAGCATGAAGGCACAGAGAAACTGCGTCTTCTTGTTTTCGTTGTATTTAATGCTTCCAGGCTCCAGCCTTTGTACTCTCTTGTCCTTCATGGGCCAATTGGTCCCAAACATATGCTCATTCATGCCCTAGGCTTTCAAGGTACGTTTCAGATGGGTGATCTGTTCTGCAACTAACTTTACCCATTTTCTCAACCTGAGAAAGAATTCTGCCTTTTACCTACTCTTCTACTTCTGTCTGTGATTCTCGCCTCACCCCCCACCCCCACTGTTCTTTAAGAGGAACCCTGATGGTGCCATGGTTAAAGCTGCTAACCAAAAGTTTGACAGTTCAAACCCACCAGCCATTCTGCAGTTGATAAATGTAGCAGTCTGCTTCTGTAAAGATAATCCAGCCTTGCAAACCATACGGGGCAGTTCTATTCTGCCCTGTAGTGTGTCTGTGTGCCTGATTTGGCACTACTATAGTGCAATTTAATCCTGGTAGCACAGTGATTAAGCACTTGACCATATATTGAACGGTTGGTGGTTCAAACTCACCAGCCACTGCCAGAAAACAATGAGGCAGTGTACTTCTGTAAAGATTTACAGCCTTAGAAACCCTTTTGGGAAGTCCTAGTCTATCCACTAGGGTCACTGTGAGTTGGAACTGATTCGATAGCACTGTTTGTTTTTATTTAGGATCTTTCCAAAGTAGATCACTAGGCATTTTCTGTAGGGCACTTCTTGGGGGATTCAAACCGTCACCTTTTGTGTTAGCAGCCAAGTGCTTATCCGTGTGCACCCCTTAAGGACTCCTATCAGGTAAATAAGGCCACAAGTCAGTTAAGAATCAACACAACAGGTTGATGGGGAGTACAGATGGTTATCTCACTTGGCTGCTAACTGGAAGGTTGGAGATTTGAGTCTCCCCAGATGCTAGTTAAAAGAAAAGCCTCGCAGTCTTCTTCCTAAAGGTCACAGTCTTGAAAGCCACATGGAGCACAACGCTTTTGTGACACACTTGGGATTGCCGTGAGTCAGAGTCCACTTCATGGCAGCTGGTTTGGTTCTTGAATGGGGACTTCACTGTCAGGGCTGGGGTGCTTCATCGACTTGATGTCTACAGGAGACCTCCAAAACCTGTTCTGTAAGCTCTGTAAAGTGGGGAAGTCATCCCTGTTCAACAATTGCACAAACCCTAGAAGCCAGGGCTTAGCTAAGAAAAGTCTGTTTCTCTGGTGTGTGACGATTAAATACCAATGCTCAGCAGTTGGCCTGAACTCTGTGATTTACAACTAATGCTCATAGGATGCTTATGAAACTGCCTGGTACAAAGTAAACTCTTAATATGAATTTTTTGTTGCTGATGAGTGCTGTCGAGTCAATTCCAACTCATAGTGACCCTATATAGGGTTTCCAAGGAACAACTGTGGTTTTGAACCACTGACCTTGCAATTCAAACCAGCCTGTGATCCAGTGTTTATTCTACAGCATCACACCAGGACTCCAAATGTGAATGGCACTGTAGGATCTGCATGGAATTCAAACCACAAGGTCGGCAGTTCAAACCCATCAGCTGCTCCTTGGAAACCCTATACAAGGCCGCTATGAGTCAGAACTGACTCGACAGCACTTAAAAACAGCAGTTGAAAGGAAAAGACCTAGATTTGAAAATCAATAAAGAAGCTCCCTGCATAGGTCTTGATTATGCTTAAAGATTTTATTTGAGGAAAACATTATCTTCTTTTTAATATTTTTATATTTATGGTTAATTTTGGCACTGTAGGATAATGAACTGGACCTCAAGATCAGTTTGAAGTGATAGGTCGGTAGTTCAAACCCATCAGCCACTCCTCAGAAACCCTAGACACGATCAGTATGAGTTGGAACCAACTTCATGGCATACAACCAACCAGTCAAGGTTGCATTTATATATGGGCACCTCCCATCTTTCTTTCCATGCCCACCTTCCACATTGAACTCTGATCCTAAATTTTATGTTTCCCATGCTTTTGCATTTGAAAAGTTTTATCGCCTATAAGGGGGCTTCAGAAAGGTCATGGAAAAATGGAATTAAAAGATAGTGACTTTTTTCCACATACTTTTTGAAGCCTCCTTGTATATATATATATAATGTTGGTGTCTAGTTTTGTTTCTTTTAAAACTTTTTAGAGCAGGGTGTCAGACTATCTGTAGTCTTCTGGCCCTTGCTCCTTTTACTCAACATTTTCTAATCAAGATCCATACCCATTATTGTGTGTAACTACAGTGTATTCATTTCTACTACTGTGTAATTAGTAGTCCATTGTAAGAATGTTGTTGTGAAGTGCCTTCAAGTCAGTTCCAACTCAGAGCTACCCTACATAGGGTTTCCGAGTAGTAGCTGGTGGATTTGAACTGCCGACCTTGTGGTTCACAGCCCAGTGCTGATCCTACGGTGCCACACCAAGACACCACAATTATTCATTCTCCTGTCTGACTGAGTGATGATGAAATGAAAACACTCCTCACCAAAACTTCTCTGAGACGGCTCAAGGATTGCTTTGAGAGAAATTTGTAGCTTTAAGTGTTTAGATTAGAAAGGAAGAATGGCTGAAAATTGGTGTACTGAGTGTCCAACTCAAGCTTGAAAAAGAAAAAGAATAAACACCAGGAAAAAAGCAGAAAGGTGAGGATGTTTAGGAAAGAACAGAAATAAAAGTTTTAAAAGATAGTAAAAAAGAGAGGCTAGGCAAAATCAAAATTTGGTTCTTTGATAGCAGCACAATAGGTGATTGCCTAGTGAGATCAAGCAAACAAAAAGAGATGGAACAAATACATAATATGATGAGTGAAAAAAGGAGGCATTGTTATAGATTCAGTTGAGATTTAAAAGATACTAACAGAATACTATCAAAATCATTGTACCAGTAGACTTGAAAACAGGTGAAATGTACAAAATCCTGAGAAAATGTTAGCAACAGTGAAACAGCAACTCTATAGATTTATAACTGCTAGGAAAGTTGAACCATTCCGAGTATTTCGGTTTCCTCCCACAGAGAAAATGCAAGCACCAGGTGTTTTTGCAGATGGCTGGTTACCCAACTGTCATACAGATTCTTTCCATTTTAGACAAATTCTCTTAGAAGACAAAAAGAGAAAACTCCCCATCTCCCACTGACTTGTGAATAACTTTAATTCCAAAATCAGACATGGCCATAAGAAAATAATCACAATTATTATAGACACTTGTAGATCAACATGAAAAGCAAAAACAAAAGGACAAAGAGTCTATAGTAAAACATGGCATGGCTTTTGCACTGTTTTCAAAACACTTGGCTTCAAATTTCAGTTACATCACAGGTTTTCTTAGCTGGAAGATAATACTTGGCTTTCAAGATTCTGATCAGGATTAGAAAGCAAAGTGTCTGGCCCAATGAATGATCAGTACATCATAACGTTATTATTGGCAGCAGCAGCTTCACTGTTACCATTTCAAAATTACCCACAGTCCCATTACATGGAAAATAGCAACTGTTAGCAATCCACTACCATGGAGTCAATTCCAACTCATAGCAACCATACCAGACAGAGAAGATCAAACCATGGGGTTTGAAAGGCAGTCCGTCTTTGCAGAACAGACTGCCTCATCTTCCTCCCATCGGTGGGTTTGAAACTTTCTGTTAGCAGCTCAGCACTTAACCACATGTCACCAGGCTCCTTACTGTTAGCCATGTGGTATTTTCTAGGTTTTTTGTTTTGTTTTGTTTTCTGTATTTATCATTTATCTTTTATTTAGTTTGTTGTTGTTGTTGTTTAGTGCTATTGAGTTGGTGGTTCCAACTCATCGTGATCCTGCATACATAGGGTTTCTGAGGAACAGCTGGTTGGTGTGAACTGCTGACCTTGTGGTTAGCAGTCCAGTGCTGATCCTATAGTGCCACACCAGGACTCCAGTATTTGGTTTACATCGTTTTTATATAAATTTGAATTCTGACGCTTTTCACTTCATATTTTATCACAGCTCAACTATGTTAAAAACAAGATATTTTAGAAAAACTAATTACACAGCAAAATGAAAACAACGTTTTAGGTAGTCCGAATTCTAAACAATTTTCCTCTATGCTTTTTATATAATGAATATATATTTACAATTTTAAAAAAATAAGCTTCAGTTGTGGTTGTTGTAGTTAAGTGCCATTGAGTTGGTTTCGACTCATAGCGACCCTGTATAAGGTTTCCAAGGAGTGGCTGGTAGGTTTGAACCGCCAACCTTGCAATTCAAACCAACCTCATGGTCCAGTGCTTATCTTACAGCACCACACCAGGACTACAAAGTTTCAATAGATATGCTCATATAACAGTTTCAAATATACTTTTTTTAGTGTGTATGTGAAGATTGTGGTATAAACAGTTAATACACTAGCTATGAGGCTAATAGTTTGAGTCTATCTAAGGTGCCTTGAGAGTGCAGTGGCTGTAGAGAATAAACACTGGACTGTGAACCACAAAGTTAGTGGTTCAAGCCCACCAGCCTCTTAGCAGGAAAAAGATGAGACTTTCTGCTTCCACAAAGATTTACAGCCTCAGAAACCAACTTGATGGCATTTAACAGTAACAACAGAGGTGTCCTCGGAAGAAAGACCTGGCAATCTACTTCCCCAGAAATCAACCATTAAATATCCTATTGAGTGCAGAGTCACCATGAGTCAAAACCAACTCCACAACAACTGTCTTGGTGGTTTGGGGTTTGTTGTTGTCTTTGTTATCACTTAGTGGTGGGACTGGAGTCCTGGTGTGACATTTGCAGATTAATGCATTGGATTGCAAGGTCGGTTTGAACTGCAAGGTTGGTGATTCAGGCTCACCAGCTGCTCCTCAGAAACCCTGTACAGGGTTACTAGGAGTCGGAACCGACTTGACGGCACTTAACAACACCACCAGTGGTGAGACTATGAACGATGACTTTTTAACACACATCTCAATATTTTATACAAGTTTTATGTTTATGATTATGCAAGTTTAATATTTTATGAGTTTTAGTATGTGTGTGCACTGTAGGAAAAAGGGGGCTTTATGTGTAAACACAGTTTTGGTGCTATCAATTCTATTGAGGGCTCATGCCATTTCTGTCTTAGTGGTAGACGTTTGTATTGTTTTTCTTAGGAAGTGGCATTGCTACAGATAACTGGCCCCACCCAGCAGTGTCTGAGAGTATCTCTCCCTCACCACACAGTCCCGACAGCAGCGAACAGTTTTTAACCTTTTAATAATGTGAGAGGTAAAAAGGGCTTCTTACCCTAAAAGCCGAGACTGTGAATTCCAAAAAGGCAAAGTTTTTCCCAAAAAAAAAAAAAAGCTAAAAAGGATAGAGAGAAACTCTGTTAACTGATGGTATGTGGAGGGGATTATAATCAATGTAATGAAACAAGGTATATGAATGTTTGAATGTGAAACCAATGATGTGCCCTGAAAACTTTCACTCAATCCACAATAAAAACCTTAAAAATAAAAAAAAATAAAAAAAAAGGGGGCATCTTAAAGTATATTCCTTTGATTATGAGCAGCAGTTCATTTTCAGTAATGAATCAGATTCCCAGTCTCCAGCTACCCGGAGCACATTTGAAACAGGACTCTGTTCCCTACACTCAACCTTGGGACCTCATCTGCCATTCCTTCTCCCTGATCCTCTAGGTTCTGGCTCCCATCTCTGGCCATGTAATAACTGTTGTTTCACCCTTATCCCAGTTCCATGTCTGTGACAAGTTTGGAGGCTGACCTGCAAGCCAAGATCCAAGAGACCTATCCCGAACTACGGCGCGTGTACTTTAACAAGGGATTGTAAAGGAAGAAGTGGAACCACTGGGGCTCACCCTGCCAGCCACACACATTGTGCAGCCACAGTGATGAGGAAACCTTCGTTCGACCTGCGTTCTCCTAACTACTAAAACATTTCCAAGAGCCACGTCAGCCTTCTTATAGAAGCTGCTGCGTAGAGCACACAGCACCTGGTGCAGCCAGGTTACCTAACACCTGCTGGGCCCTTCAAGTTGAATCATGTAGCTTACAGAAATACCCTTCTGTTGCTTTTATAATCATTGTTTTCCCAAGACAGTGTCCTAGCCCTCACCTAGGGTTTTAGAAAACAGTACTAAACGTAGAGTACGGTGCTCAGTGTATATTCAATCAATATTTATTATTAATAAGTGAAGAGAGAATCTGTTTAAAATACTGACTTTTCACCCCAGTCATGTTTTAACTCAAGGAAACCTCAGAAATAATTTAGGAGAAAACAAAAGTCCTGAGGCCAACTATAAAAATTGTCCTTATAGATTAAGAGTGGTTCACTTCCCAATTTGGACAATGGGCAGGTCCCAAGGAAGATATGAACATTTGAATGCAAAGCATAAAGACTGCTTCTTAAACCTTCCGGAATCAGCATAACAGACCTGAGGTATAAGACTTCCCTGCTGCCAGCAACTAAATGCATCCATATCATTGGATGTCTTTGGAGGACTGTTAAATGTATTCTGTTTTAAATTCTTGTGATGGTGTGGGCCTTGGAGTTGTTGATCTTATACTCAGTTATCTGCTTCAAATAATCAACTAACTGAAATAACAAATATCAAAATTTGAAAGTATATCCAACATGCAGTGCTGAATGGCTGGATGGAATCAGGTTGAATCTGGTCTGGCCCATTTTTTAGATCATTTGGTCACGTCCTTTTTCCCTGTCTTTTCTTATCATCTTAGATTCCTCTGGCCTTCAGAAAGATGCCGAGATCCTGTGTTTGTGAATCAGCATCTAAATGAATTTGAGTGTTGTATAATACATTCCACACTGTTTAAAAGTTTCTAAGTGATTCTACATATCCTATATTTAATATCACAGATTATGTTTCAAGTATTAGTGTTCAGAGTGATAATACAAGGTGATTGTTTCACTAAGTGCTGATCGTTGTAATTCAGATACATGTCAAGTGAGGGGGGAAAGAAAAAACAAAAACAGGTATCTGTTTCATTTTGGCAGATTATCCAGACAATGTGCCCAGACTGAGTTTCCTCATGAAGGAAAAACGGTATGCCTTGCTTATGCTTCTCTTTTCTCTGAGAGGATTAATGGATCAGAAGCTTTGGATGATTCGGAGGCAGCTTTTATGCCACCAGAAGTTAAGATAGAATTCTGGAGCATTCTGTATTAAACCCTTCAAAGCAAAATGGCTTTCCCACGACATGCTGGCCTTGGTTATATTTTGGTGCCATTGGTTATATTTTAATGCTTTCCTTGAAAAAGTGAGATAAGCCTGGACTTTTAAGACCAATCTCCATGAAGTACTTAAGGCTGCTTTTAGCAAGAGTCAGCACTAAAATGTCTTGAGTGTCTGCCAGCCTCACTCAGCTGCCCATGTCTCATGTGATTTGATGCTCCATTAACATAGATTGGTAACCATCTTCATGGAAAGACTGATGAGCTAACTAAAACTATACACACACAAGGGAGATAGGACCAAAGCATAGTTATCAAAGGAATATTGAATATGGAGATGTGTCTTTCTAAAAATGGTTGATTGATGTTTCAGATTCTCAGTGTTCTTATATAGAAAAAGTAATTGTATAGTTTAATCATGGTTTATAATTTTTCTCAAAAAACAAAAACAAAAGACGAACACACAAGAACAAATGAACCAAGATTGGCAATCTTTGCTGATCTAGAAACACCTTTCAGGGGAAAAATCCACATGGAATGCAATAAGTTTGTAAAGATGAATAGTTATTGCTAATTCTATTCACATGATGATTGTAATACTTACTGACTGGCCGTGTTTATTTCAGTATTAGCACAGTGTCTGGCCACTGTCGGAGTCAATGGTTATTTGAGTTCAACTGGATGAAATGTTAAATAAACTCAGAATGAAATTAAGTTCTCTCATTTATTTATATTAAAAGGATCATGCAGTTTCTAAGTTGCAGTCAAGAGTACCTTCCATTCCAACTTAATGCCTGGGGCATCATCAGTAACTCCTAATGAAAAGACACTTCTATATCATACCTTTGTTGTTGTTAGGTGTTTTTGTTGTTAGGTGCCAATAATACCGACCCATAGCGACCTATGCACAGCAGAACAGAACATTGCCCGATCCTGGGCCAACCTCACTACTGTTGCCACACTTGAGTCCATCAATGCTTCCACTTGGCCAATCCATTTCATTGGGGGGTCTTCTT